CCCCAAAACCCCAAAACCCCAAAACCCCAAAACCCCAAAACCCCACTTTTAACGAGGTACATAGAACTTAGATAATAATTAATTTTTAATAAAATATGGAACCCACCAATCCAGAAGGTAGTGATTCCCGAAATAGTTCCAGTAATAATACTCAGGAGAATTTGGAGGAACCTAAAAAGGCAACATTAGGAGAGATTTATGAATACATAACAGGACCCTACTATATGCTCTTTATTATTGGTTCTATTGCAGCATTTACAGGAGGTAAGTTCTTAAGTCTGGTATTTTGCTAACTTTAAAATCAACCTGAGGCAACCTTAGTTGTCCTTTTCCAGGTAATATGACCTACAAACAGATAAAATTTGTTTGTAGCGTTTTTAGAGGGATCTTCTGATCTGAAATCTGCAAAAATATCAACTTTTCTCTGTTTTAAAGAGGAAATTTGGATTTTTGCTGGCACCAGAATTCATGCAACTCTTAATTAAGAAGTTGCATGAAAGTGTGAACTCTATTAGGTGTCTTGATTTGTGCTGGGGTAAACTTCAAGATCATGAATTCTTATATCAAATATAGGTGCCGATTACCCATTCATTATCTTCTTCCTTGCAAGGGTCTTCAATGACTTTGGAGAAGAATCAGCTTCAACTATGCATGGTAAGTAAAGTCTCTCAATTCCCTTTGCTCGAATATTGCTCGAAAGTCGCTAACAAGTTATCTAGACAAGATCATGGACAATGCATGGTTCATCATGGGAGTTGCCGGTATTGCCTTCATCACTAATCTGGTCTACTACTGCTGTTTCACTCTGATTGGGAAGAAGATCAATTATGAATTGAGGTACCTTGATTCATTCTGAATTATACTAATTTTTTTTAGATGGAGATATATTCAAGCTGTCCTTAGACAAGATAACAGTTGGTTCGATAAACAGATTGTCGAAGGGATCCCAACAACTATTCATAAGAACTTGAGAGACATTGAAGTTGCCTCTGGTAGAACTGTGGCTTTCCTCATTTACTCTGTCGGAACTGTGATCAGTGGAGCTGGAATTACTTTTGGTGCGGGATGGATTTTCTGCTTCACACTCTTTGGAGTTCTAGTCTATTGCGTTGTGCTAGGAGGATTTGTAGAGTACTCTTTTGGGAGAGTCGCCAAGGTCAGTGAAGACGCCTTCCAGAAGGGAGGTATCCAAGCTGAGGAGAGTATTAGTGCTATCAAAGTCGTCAAGGCTTTTGGGCAAGAAGAGAAATGTACTAAAGATTTTAACTTCCATTTGGAAAATAAGCATGATGAAATCATGTCAATGGCCTGGCTATATGGTATTGCCTTCGGATGCTTGGAGACTATGTGCTATGTTGCTGTAGCTTACCCAATGCTCATTGGATGCTTCTTTGTCTCTGAATCTGTAAGTTTAATCTTGTTAATTTCATAGGTTGACAATTCTTTCGCAGATGAGCCTTATAATGCAGGAGATATTTTCACTTACCAAGCCATTCAGTTAGGATTTTACTTCTTGGGAAATTCAGTGAGACATCAATTCACCTTAAAGAAAGGATTAGAAGCTGCTTATCCTGTATTGGAACTGATTAGAAGCACTCCTGATATTAACTTGGACGACCCAGCTGCTTTGGATTTCGCTGAACTGAACTCAGGATTCAAGTTTGAAGATGTATTCTTCAAATACGCTGATGCTACCAAGTATGCCTTGAACGGAGTTTCATTTGATATTCCAAAGGGAAAAACTGTTGCTATTGTAGGGCCATCAGGATCAGGAAAATCTACCATTGCAAAGCTTGTTGAAAGATTCTATGATCCAACTAGCGGAGCCATCTTCGTTGATGGAAATAACATGAAGGATATCAACCTCAGGAACTACAGAAACAAGATTGGATATGTCGGACAAGAGCCTTGCCTATTTAACGAGACAATTAGAGAGAATATGATCAACTCTTACCCAGACGCCACTGATGAAGACATCGTTGAAGCCTTGAAGCAAGCCCATGCTTGGTCCTTTGTCGATAAGTTGCCACAAGGAATTGATACCCATGTTGGTGCTATCGGAGGAAGACTCTCTGGAGGGCAGAAACAAAGAATTGCTATTGCCAGAGCATTAGTCAGAAAGCCAGACCTTTTGATCTTCGATGAAGCAACTAGTGCTCTTGATATTGAGAGTGAGAAGAAAGTGCAGAGAGCTATTGACTCTATTGAGCAGACATACACCAAGATCGTTATTGCCCATAGACTCACTACCGTGAGAAATGCTGATGAGATTATTGTGCTCGAGGACGGAAACATCATTGAGAGAGGAAACCATGAAAGACTTTTGGAAATCAACGGAACTTATGCTGACCTCACCAGAATTCAGGATGCAGCAATGAACAGCAAAGCTGGAAGCAAGCCTGTTGACCACGAAAATCCCAATGGCAATGAGAACAGACAGACCCAAGGAGATATCTATCTCGGCGAAGGTGACGAGAACCAGAACTTGCTTGATGATGATGAACTCAGAGAAGTCAAAATTGAAGAGACTGAAGAATTTGGATTCTTCTTCGTCATGAAGAAGGTCTTCTCTCAAATGTCACCAGGCTACCTCATCCCATTCATTATCTTTGGAGCTACCTTCGTTGGAGGAGGAATGTGTGTCTTGACCTATCCTCAAGTTAAGCTCTTGATGAGAATTATTATGAATGATTCTGGGAATTTTATTAAGGAAGGAATTGCTATTTATATTCCTATCATCATGGGAATGTGCGCTATTATGTTCGTGGTACAGATGCTGACTAGGGCTGCACTTCATGTAGTCAACTCTAACTTGATTGAGACTGTTAGATCTACATTGTATGACACATTGATCCATCAGCCGCTTGAGTTCTATGATCAAAAGGATCACAACATTGGTAACCTCACTGCTATTTTGTCTTCCAATGTTAGAGAGCTAAATGGAGCTTCCATTGAGATCTATGTGTTCATGTACGGTGCCTGTGCAGGTATGATTTCAGGAATCACAATTGCCTTTATATTCCAGTGGAACTTTGGAGTTCTTCTCCTTGCAATCACTCCAGTCAGTGCTATTGCAGTTGGTGTAACCTTCTCTCTTCAGTATGGATCTCAGAGTGGAACTAAGGAGCACGAAAGTCTTCAGGAGAAAATGGTTTCCGATTTTGTCTGAAACTACAACACCGTCGCTTCATTGGCAAATGAAGATGTCGTAATCAAGAGGTACTTTGCTAATGAAAATGGAGGTGAGCTCAGTTATACTCTCACTCCAGAGAACTTCTCTGAGGCCTTCTACCCAGCTTTGACCTGTGGATTCGGGCTCTCTTTCTTCCTCATGGGGTACTTCTTCTGATGTCTTGTTGCTGCTCACAACATTAAGGCTGGAAAAGATGCTGAGAAGCAGCTGATGTGCATCATCGCATTTGCTTACAGTTTCGTAGCTGTCTCTTTCATGATGGTTAACACCCCAGATTTCGGAAGAAGTTTCAGATCTGCCAGGAAAATCATTGCTATTCAGCAAGCTATCAAAGAAGGCGCTCAAGAGTCCACCATTAAGGATGGATACGAGGAATTAACTCCTGAAATTGCTCAGAAAGAAATTGAATTTGTTGGAGTCTGGTTCAAGTACCCAACTGCTGATGAGGACATGTGGGTCTTGAGAGATTTCAACCTGAAAATCAACGCTGGAGAAAGTATTGGACTAGCCGGAGAATCTGGATGTGGAAAAAGTACAGTCACAGCTCTTCTTTACAGATTCTATGAACCAGACCAGGGCTACATCACTATTGGAGGAAAGCCAATCACTCAGTTCACTTTGAAATCTCTTAGGGCTTGCTTCGGGTTTGTCCAGCAGGAGCCACTGCTCTTCAACACTACTATTATGGAGAACATTACCTATGGAAAGAGCAACGCTACTTCTGATGAGATCCTGAAAGCTGCTAAAATTGCCAACTGCAGTGAGTTCATCGAGAAGAGAGATTTTGATGGAGAAGGTGCTGATTCCACTGCTAACGAAGAGATTGATAACGACTACAGATATGTTGACCTTCCAGACGGCTACAAGACCGTGTGCGGGTCTAGAGGTAACAAATTGTCTGGAGGACAGAAACAAAGAGTTGCTATTGCAAGAGCTGTTATTAGTAACCCAAAGCTAATGATCTTGGATGAAGCAACTTCCGCTCTTGATGAGCACTCCCAGAAGGTAGTCCAAGAAGCCCTTGACGCAGTCATGACCAAGTGTACTTCTATTGTCATCGCTCATCGTTTGAGTACTCTCGGAAAATGCGATAGAATCGTCAGAATAGAAAGAGGTGTTATTGCTGACGACTATGATAACAGGAAAGATGAATAAATGCAGGCTTGCCTATAGAGCACCATGTATGGAATAAAGCTAAACCCTGTGTGTTAAAATCCTAATCATAAATAATTTATGCAAATTTGTGTGGGCTTGGTTTACCCTAGAACTCTAGTGCAGATCGAGCTGGCTTAGAGGGCTTTCGGATATTTGGATTTTGAGTTTTTTGAGTTAAATTTTTTATATTTTAATTTTCAGTATTACATTAGCCATCCGGGGTTTTGGGGTTTTGGGGTTTTGGGGTTTTGGGGTTTTGGGG